ATATCCCTACACAATAGACCTATTAACAATGTTCTTCATAAAATTTACTGGTATTTACGAATATGTGTCTCATTTTTAGTGGTATCCCCCTATCACAGGACGGACTTACAGGTACACGTTGACGGCATATTCGGGCTACTGAAGCGCCCGCAACTAGCAGGCTTTTTGGTCTAGTGGTTAGTGACCCTGACTGCTAAGTCAGGATTACTAACCCAAAAAGCCTAAAGCCTAGCCAAAAGAATTAGCATGGGTATTATATCAGTTAAAGGCGGTAGCCTGGTGATTAAGGCATTGGGCTTGCGATCAAGAGGTCGTGAGTTTGAATCCTGACGGGTAGACTACCGACGTGAACCCACTCCCAACACAAGCAATTTAGCTTAGCGGGAGGGGTTAACGGGAATACTAGTAATTTCGGTTGCTAGTAGACCATTAAAAAAAAAACCTTTATGTTTTGCAGAATCGTAACATTTTCCGAGCTTTTTTGTTGTTCACAATCTTCCAAATGTAATAGTTTTTACTTAAGTCCATTAAATTTGGAATATGGTACCAATTGAATTAATCAGTGATTTGCAAATAAGTAGCATAGCGGGTTCCCTTTGAGGTATATGAAAACCTACCTAAACACTAGACCAAAAGTACACCAAAAAAGTACACCAAGTACACCAAGTACATACAAGACCACAGCGGTCGTAGGTTTGATTCTCGTATAGGACAAATTATTTTAGATGTAAATTGTGACAGTCTTTAAATAAACATCACCTTTACAAACCTTAACATTGGTTTTAAATAAGTCCTCGGAGTAAATATGAAGAGGTTTATACATATTTTTTTTGAAAAGGGTTTTCTAAAGGTTATAGTAATTCTTTCGAAAATGAGTTAAACGACATGCTAACTTGACGTTAATATTTTAACTTAGTTTAACACACAACGTGTGTTAAATGAAAATGCATTCCATGATTATTAAACCTTTTCAAAAGACCTGTCAAATAATTCTTTTGCATGTGAGAGTGTAATATTCACTACTAAATGTGTAATACGTTTAAATATAAATAACTTCTCTGTGAAAATATTTTTACATACATAAAATCATGTAGGTTATAAATTTAATTTTGTTTCACACATACACTACGGTTTATTTAAGAAATTGTGTGGTAAGAAACAAATGGTTTTTGCCTAGCAAAGCGGTCCTCCCTAGAGGGATAATGTGAGAGGACTTTACGAAATTGCTTTACTTCCACCAACCACAGAAAAATCTGCAATTGCACTCGTTTTTAAGTCGAAAAGCTAATTCCAAACTTTTTGTAATTAATATTTGTCGTAAACTATTGGTTTCTCATAGTTTGTTTGATAGAATTTTTCAGGGGCTGGTTCAGTCCGAAGGAGTGAATTAAGAAAAAGATGTTTATAAATGTATACGAAAACACTTTTGAGTAAGGACGTAAATCTAACTGCAGGTCACTTGCAATTTGACTGTAGGTCAAAGTAAAACGTTCTTTACGAACTACTATCGCAACTATGTAATATTGTCAATACATACTAGAATGCCTCAATAAACAATCGAATACTAAAAATACAAGAAACACTTTTACCAGCAACTTGTAAAGTCCTTTGAAACATTTTTACTCACGATACACTTAAAGGCAAGGGAATAGATGAAACTTTTTAAGTTTCAGGCCAATACAAGGTTCGACGTTGAATTTTGTCGTAACTATAGAGAACTATGTTTTCGAACTAAGTGAATTATTAAAAATTGAAGCGGAATAGTTGACTATAACGTTGAAGTGAGACTGCCAAGTGATTTAACCAAACAGAAATGCAAAAGAATTAATTAGTTAACTGACTGTCGGTGGGGTAGTGAAAGAACTCTCCGTCGAGAATTATTGCGAGCTCCGAGCAGCGTTGAGACTACTACTTTACCTTTTGACGTCGACTGCGTGTATTTTAATGCTAGCTAGTCCATTTAATTAGGCAAACAGTTGTTGGATTTATAGCCCTTTGTTTGATTTAATACACAGTTTTGTGTTGTTCATAACGATTAAATCATCATATTACTTTGATTGAAGTTAAAAATAAATATTTACTGTTGAAGAAATGTGACGGTACATAGTTAACATGGAGTATATGTATCAAAAAAAATTTTTAGAAATTGAGATAGCTTGACAACCTATGTACTGAACACAAAATTACTAATGAACAATAGAGCATACCAATTTATAACAAAAATGTATTCCAGAACAGTCCAGTTGCTAGAACATATCTTCTCAATTAGATATTTCATTTTAATAAAGCTTTGTCTTCGTATAGTCTTTGTCATTTTACAATCAACGTAATACAGTATATCAGGGGCAAACTAATTTTCAAACTTTGTTAATTTGTTATGGTTTGGTTGTTGTAATGGGGTCTCAGTTTTTGCAAACTGCTTAAGGTTATCTTTGTTTTAAGAAATGATAAATCTATTGCCTCTTTTGGTAATTTACAAGAAAAATAAACTACACATTTCTATCAGCGATTTAAAAAAAAATCCACACCTAGTAACAGTAATTTATATTTATGTTTATGCAAAACATTAACTCATCAAGTAATAAATTTCACACCGCAATTATTTATAATAAATGTGTAAAGATTTGACTTATTGACTATTGTGCGTGTTTTAATTTAAGCTAATTTACACTTAACTGCACAGAACCGAGAGTTCCTATTTATGTAATTATATTAATTGAGTGTGTCATCTGTGCATAAAACATTTTCTGTTGTGTGTTAAAGCCTATAAGTGACAAACCAAACATACGAGTCCTTCAATGTCAATATTTTGCTACACTATCCATTGAAATGAAGTTATTAGAGCTTACACCTTAATGCTACACCGGCTTATAAATATGTATTGCGAATCCTTAAGTTGCGCCGTATCTTTATTAATTAGACCTGCCTACCATCACAAAGGCCATCAATCACAACTGCTAGTTCTTCATCTGAAGTGATTTAATTAAGACTGCAATGTAATTGCACTTAATCAAAACTGTTTTACTATTGCAAATATTAAACCAATGTTGGTTGTGAGCAGCATAATATTTTTCTTCTCTCTATTTAAATTATAACTTTTTTAGAAACATTAACATTTTGTTTCGAAGCTTTTTACTTACCAACTTTTTTATTATTTGTTATAACTTTTTAATTTTTAATATAGTCATTTAAGAAAAAAATACTCTATAGGCCTTTGACCTTGCGAGTTATTTATTTTAGCGCCTCACATAACTAGAAACTCGCCGAGAACCGGTTACACGTCAGTTCTACAAACTATAATGGTTTTTCCAATTATTATATACACCAAGTGAAGTATTTTTTTTTTCAATTGTCTGTAAAATCAACTGCTAGTTCTTAAGTTATCATGGACATAATGCTTTAACAAAAGGTAATAACTAATTTTCTTTAAATAGGTTTCCAATTCAACTTTACTTATAGCCCATAAATTAACGTTGAAGACAAGTTATAACTTGAAATTATGTTTCTCGGATGTCTTATAATTGGCCTTAGTGTTAATTTATTGAAGTTTGTGGGCTTAAATGAGTTAACTAATATTTGGGTTTCTTACCTTTTTAGTTAATTTATCTAATGCGTTCGGACAGATAGCATATTAATTTGAGTGGCCAAGCTGCTATTACTATTTGAGTTCCGACAGACTAGACGTCCGATTTCTTACACCAACTCATATTTAAATAGCTGTTTTAGGTTAAGATGCAGTTCTTGTTCGTGTTTATATAAGGTATGTAATAAATAGATAATTCTTTTGAGAAAAGGTTTACAAACAAAAATATGTTTACAGTAGTTTATAATATTGTTTTTAAGCGTCAACTGTTTTATTCTGAGGCACGGCAACCACTAGCCTAGCAGTTTTTCATTCAACTATTATTAATTTTAAACTTTCGCGTCTGGATATATTAATGAGTTAAACAGGACTTTACTCTAAAACATAATTACAACGTACAACGTACAATATATTACAATTAATTATAACACAATATAATGACCTTTTTTTTACATTTAAGTTCAGCAGTGCCTAAGTTACACTCGATATGCGAGCTTCAGCAACTAGTGCAACTAGCCCCAGTCGGTTCGTTATATTTGTTTATACCTTTTGCATATAGGTATACAAGAGCAAGTCGTGCTAAACGGAAATATGCAATTTGAAGGGTCATAAAACCAGCAACCTCATAAAAATTATCACAAAAAATAATGAAAATGATTATAACCCCCCTCTTTTATTGAAACAATTTTTAGTTGTATGTTCAGTATGAAAACTTTTATAAACATTAATGATTTCAACTTTTCCCTCATAGATTGTACAGAATAACCCAACAGCTTATGTTCATCAAAACTAACCTCCTCTATTAATATTAGAGAGCAAAGTTTTGTTGTCACAAGAAAATTACCGGGTGTGATGTGTATAACATTGACATACATATTTTACTTAGCGCTTTGTTTGGAACAAGCAATTAATTACGAACATGGAGCTGTTATGCAAATTGTGAATGTAAATAAATCAAGCTACATTCAACATGTTCAGTATAGTTGTGTATTGTGTAATTGCTGACTGATTCTAAATGTATAATCATTTACAGTTGAATTTGAAGTAATAAAAGCAGAATTGACACAGAATAATAAAAATAAATGGTGATGTGTTTGTGAGGGGGCCAATGTCATCAAGTTTACGAATTTGCAAACAATTCCTATTTATATCTTATTATAATAAAAAGCTGACCTGCTTGGTTAATTTACCCCATATGTCATGATACAACGAGTTACTAATTGCGTTAAAGTGTTGCACGACTAGCACTTAAAGGATGTGTCACCATCCTATAATTTTTATTTTTGGGTGCATGATTATCCTGCTTAATTTACTATCCCTAACAGCTTTAACAATTTTATTCAAGATCATAAAAAAATAAATTAATGATAAGAACATATACAGTGGATAAAAAGATGGTTTAATATCATAACTTGTGCTAACCTGGTTCGTGATGAGAAGCAGTCGGCGCAGAGAAAGCGCTGGAACAGCCAGGGCGGCGTGACAATCCTCCCAGCTCCGGAACTGCATATATAAAAAACAGTTTGAATTTTAGAAACCTATTTATACTGCCATTGTAAAACGTTTTAAATTAGATCATGATGAATTGAAAATGAATACCTATCTCAATAAGTATCGTTTAAGCGGGCGAAGCCCTTGGGCATTAGCTTTTTTTACTCTATATGATTAAGAAAGAATCGTTTTATAATAAAATCATCTCAACATTAAAATAGTTAATACATTTAAATAAATAGTTTAATATACGTAAAACAATCACTTCATAGAATCCTATACATCCTCACAATAATAAATTCTTTTTTGTCGGTAACTTGAGTATATATAATACATAAAAGAATCTCGAGTTAAACAAAGGAACGACTGATAAATATTCTTCAAACATATCTCCACAGTTGTCATACATTTATCCTGACAGCGAACTAAGCAAAAACTGAGTTTGAGGACGTTGAATGTTGAGCGATTAGCGTTCGGCTTTCATGGTTAACCTACTTCTTCCCTTAGTCTTTCCTCATTTTGTGTACTGCTACTGCCGCCGAAATGTTCTTCAAATGGGTTTTCTCGGCAAAATAACAAATAGGCCACGGCCGCTTAGACACTAATCGGGTTTCGTCGAAATGGGATTTCGCTAAGCTATGAAAATTAAATGCTCCGCTCTCAAATTCAAATTATCCCGAGATGAAAATTAAATAAATTCAACGTGGCCTGTAATTTAAACCTCGATCTGAACCAACTTTTCTCAATTCACCCGAACTTCGCAGTGTGACTTTGAATTGCTTTATATTGAAATTATGCGCTTTACTTTGCACTTGATTTTTTGTCATGAATGTCCAGCGGGATTGTGGTAATTATTTTTTTCATAAAAACCACATGTTCGTTTTATGACACTAAGTGGATTATTGTACATTGCAGTATAACTAATAAGGTCTATACTAAAATACGATCTGAATCATAGTAAAGATTTGAGTGATTCGATTTAAAATTATCTGAGAACGGAACTAAATTGAATATCAAACAGTTAAGATAGTGCTGATCTGGAATCTGTTCGGTAAACGCGTGCTTAGATAAGTGTCTCCTATTCAATATTGGCCAGATAGGGGAGCGCTGGCGCTGTGCCACATCGGACTGCCAATTATAAATAGACAAGTTATGATGCCATATCGGAAAAATTGCTGTTTTATTTGAAATTCGTTTTCGAAATAATTAAAAAATATTTATAAATCAGTTCATCTAATGTAGGACGATCAAATTTACACAGAGCGTGAAAATATGAAAACCTAAATGATTTTCGTTGCAATTTCCTTCATTAGAAAAATGAAATTACGAGTATATTTGTTTTAAAACACATGTTATATTTATCAAACAGACAAACATTAATCAATGTTTTTTACACACAAGTACAACAGAGATACAAGAAAGATATCCTTTTATCCAGAAAAGTACTGTTAAGGATAAAGTACTTGTATTACTCGTAGATCGAAACCTCTGGCAAAGATTACTTGGAAATAAAATAGTACGATAAACCAAAACGATTTCCTTAATAGGTTAATTCGTATTTATAGTGGTTAGAAGATTCAGACTCCGGTTCGTTACGGGCGGTTATAGTCCTAAAAAGGCCAACAACAGTCTCTACAGAACTTCGATATCGGCTAATACTTGGGTTGTGGAGGTCTGAATGCAGCCGCCGTAAAAAACCGAAGTTCAGCCGTATCGTAGTAGATTTAAAGCCGCTCAACCTAGTTTGGAACGAAGATTCAGACTCCCAGGCAACGGCGTTCCTTTTCATGAACTCCTAATTTTCTAATTTAATTCTTAAAGTGCCCGATTGACGGTAATATGACATTTGGATGCTTATTACGTGTTTGGATTAAATGTGGACGTTTAGTACGCCTATGCTGATCCCTTTGGGAAAAAGGGGTGTATGTATGTATTTTACAATCTATAAATAGTTATGATTATTTACCACGTTAGTTGTAAAAAAAATGATTACAGGACCTAGAAACGTTTGCATCATTAGAACTTCCAATGCATTAAAATGAGACCAAGAACGTCCTATGGCTTGTTACATGTCAATTTGATTTTATTCTACGGTTTAAGTAATAATTCTCCTACAGTACAATAATACAGTAAAGCGATGACTGTTAAAAAAAAAAGGGGTCGAGTTGGTTTAAGTCAAAAAGTTTTGAAGAGCAATAGTCCGTATGTGGCTTATAAAAAAAGATAAAGTACGAGTAGAGTAGGTGATGCGCTTGTGATAGGTGTCGGATGTGTCTATGAATGACTCTAATTGCTTACCACCAGACTTTGCTTATTGAACTCGTTGAAATTGCATAATAAGAAGTCTAAAATTATCTTCCATAATGATGGGAAAATAAAAATTCACGTTGTAGTACATAACAAATGAATTATTAAAACAAGATACTTTAAAATGATATAGACTTGACTGAGGACATTAGTTTCAAATGAGACTTACACATAAGAGATTATGTTAATAGATGTTATAATATTCTCTCGGCAGAACTTGGTGGCTAAGACTCAGCTTCGACATCTGCAGGCTTGGCTCCGCGCCAAACTAGCTCATGTTATATCTACTCTTGTTTTGCTTAAGTTCAAGACAGTTTATAAAGTGTTTGGGAGATTTTTACAACTATGCAGATACCAATTTTCTTATGTTTGGTTTTACACATGTTGTTAGATGTAAAATTAATCTTGTTAAACAAACTTTTTATTTCCTATTGCAGGTGAATTTTAGAATTTTTTGTATCTAGTACTGATATAGCTCAGAGTTTAAATAAAAAATTAACTTCTGACCAAGTCGTCGAACTGTGGCTGCAGTTTTGAAACTCATCTAAAATACTACCAATATGAACAATTTTTATTACTTCGTATCTTCATCTCTTTATTGTACACCGCTGCAGTATTATTTGTATATAGAATATTAGTAATGGACGACTTAAAAAAGATGTTTCGAAGAACATCAAATTAGTGTCTATTATAAGTATGAAAAGATTCGTGTCTTTGATGTATAATGCTTTAATTGTGTGGGTGCATGCATGTTTCAAATCATTTCAGTTTAGAGTTAATTTATTATTACATTTATATACGTATGGTTATGTTATTCAGCGATGTACGAACATATTTAAGTTGGTAAGGACCGTGAATAGTGAATGCAAACATGTCATAACACGAATAGTAAGTAATAGTTACCACAAAGTTATATGTCATGGGAGCTCAAATTTTAATTTAATACAAGGTCTAAAATATAATCGTACTGAATCTATTGCAGCTTAAAACAATATTAATATGAATGTTGTATGACAATAATGCAATGAAAGAGAACGGGTCCTAATAAAACAATATTATTAAACAAATCGTAAACAAAGTAGACCGTGGCTAGTACAACAAAGCGCAGTATGAATAAAAAATTGAACATCGTGCGTGAAACGCGACACATTGGGTGCGCCCGCGCCGGTACGAGGTCGCCGCTCGTCTATAAACATTGACCTATTAACGGGCGATATGAGGCAACTGGTCATAGCGGTTATGTCGATAGACGTACTGGAATTCAGATATTTGCTTATTTTCAAACTATTTTTCCATTCACAAGATCGTATATTTGATTAGAGTTTTAGAATATAACATTCATAATAAACATGTTGGCCGTGATTTATTTACATTGATATAGTTATTTATTTGCCATAAGTATATGTGTGATCAGCGCTCTGTAGACCAGGTTAGAATAAAAATTGTTTGTTCATGGAAACAAGACAAACACTTATGTAGATACATCTGAAAATCGTATATGTTAGGTTAAAGTATTTCTAAATACACTAACAGAAAAATAAACTACAATATTTTAGTACATCCTAAATCGATATAATTCGATATTTTAATATCTGAATCATAATAAAATTAATTTATTTAAGGAACGTGTAAATTTGAGTAAGACGATATAAAAATTTGTAGCCAATAGCTAACTTAGTTTAAAAAAAACATTTAATTTTTTCTGTACGGAAATAGCTTATTGATTTCATATGGATCTTACATCTTACGTTAGCTCAGCCAGGTGTTATGGTATACACTTCATTCCAAATGGGATCGAAATAAACAAAATCAATACGGAATCAGTGTCTAATACTAATAAATTCTTATGACCCTTTCAAAATCACGGCCGTTGTTCTTCTAAAATGTAATATTTTTGGTGAAAAAACATTCTGCCTCAGACGAAAATACAAATACCAGCTATTTGTTAGCAATTGTACTAAAATATGCTTAATGTTTTATTCTTATTATTAGATTTATTTGGAATGTATGAGGTAGCCTAAACAGTAAATTCTTATGAGTATATTAATGTTATCTTAGACCCATTATACGACCTTAATTGGAGTTATTGAGCTCAGAATATATTTATGAAAAGGTCACGGGTGTTTGAGAAATACTTGTACGAAAAACATTTGTATTTTTCTGTTATTTCAAACTAATTAAAAGAAGGGATGATTAGTAAGTTCGTTTTTTGTGTTGTAATTTTAATTTATCATTTCGATTCGACTTTCAAAATGTTAATTGTTAAGTTTAGAGCTTAAATTTTTTATACCACTATAAAAATACAAATATTATTTACGAAAATTCTAAATTTGGCTGACTACAACAGGTGACGTACATAAATATCATACCAATCACATCCTCTTCTTAGAAGGCCTAGGAGATATATACCTATGTTCACCTTTTAAGGTACACATACATACCTACATAGTACATTTTACCGAATTTTATTTGAAATCTAAACAAATGGGTTTTTTAAAATGAAAGACGTAAAATATGTTTTCTTAAAAGCGGCAAATTAAAGCTCATCTTTAGGTCTTACTGATTAATCTTTATCTCATTTCATTACTATGATATTATTCCTCTACACAAAGAATTACACATCTTTATCTAAAATTTATTTTCCAAAGGTTTCTTGTAAGATAACGCTCTTAGAGATAAGCCAGTACATTTCCACTTTACATTTTTCGGGATCTTTGAAAGTATTTTATACATTGTTGTCGTGTGTCGTGAAAAGTTTTGTTGTTTCTAAATATCCAACTGAACTTGCCTGAAGCGATTGTGCTCATAATCTGCTCCACCGCTATTCTTCTAAGGACATAAAGACTTTTCGTAGCTTCTTAATGGTAGTTGCTTTTTAGAGTTCCGTACCTCAAAAGGTAAAAAAGGAACCCTTATAAGATCACTTTCTTGTCCGTCCGTCCGTCTGTACCTGTATCGCCACCGATTTTTTCAAGAACGGGTAGACCTAGCAAGTTTAAATTTATACCAGATACTGAGGTCTATGGTCCTTACTAGGTGTAAAAAAGTTAAGGTCCTGAGTCAACACGATAAAAAGATATGGGCAACATCGATTTTCACGAAAACTTGTGATTACCAAAATTTACCTTAATTTTCTACTTTTTTTATTTTTTTGAATTTTCTGTTGCTGTGTGTGTGCTGTAAGACCTTGCTTTTAACCAAAATTGACAATTTTAGGTCAACCGGAAGGTTTTGGGTCGAAAACCTATATGGTAGTTCCCGTTGACCTAGAATCACGAAATTTGGAAAAAAAGTTGAAAATTAAGATAAATTTTGGTACTTACAAATTTTCGTGAAAATCTACGTAAAATCTGGGTAGGTAAGGAACCCTCGGCGCACGAGTTCGACTCGTACCTGACTGGTTTTTAAATTATATTTACCTGGTTGAGGATGTGAATGAGGATGATCGGCGGGTGGCTGCATAGATGACAGAGCGGAGAGTGGAGTGTAGCGCGCTCCATCATCTCGAGAACATCCCTCCTGTCAAACAATATTGTTTGCGATGATGTAATACTGACAAAACCATTAGTGTTGTTGTGTTTGTTTATAATGTTGTTACAATAAACCTTATAAAAGAAGTAATCACGGTAGAAATGCAATTGCACTTACTGCTAATATTTCTTAAATAAGTTTGTTTTATACTATTACAAGATTATATCGCGCGATTATATCGCGCAGATTATATCTTCTGACGCTATAATTATATAGCGTCAGAAGATATAATCTGCGCCCAGTGTTTCACGATGGTTACTCCTTTGATGCGTAAATCATTCACACCCCAATTGATTATAACTGAACATACCAAAACCACCGCTGACTTTAAATACAAAAGGCATATTTTTCTCTATAAGCCTTACAGAGGTAAAGCGATGAAGGATAATGTGCGGATGAGGTCCCGAGGCATGTTTACATAGAACTTACTTCATTACCGCGTATTAATGAGAACTGAAACGCCGGCGGGTCTATGGTCTTTATTATGCATGGGTAATATTCGTATTAATTTTTTATTGAAGGGGTGTTATAATTTAATCAACAAATAAATAATGTCATTTCTTTGACAATCTGGATTTGAGATTATATTAAGTAAATACGGAATCAAAAATATTAAGTGCAGTTAACATACCTGTTCACAATTAGCAGTTGCTGTTGTTTGCGTGTGGCTTGTTGATGATATGCGGTATTGCAGTCCGGACACAGTGCAAAATCCCTCATGATGATGAGTAGAGTATAGGCCTGTGATGGTCACATCTGTGTCCTTGTTCACAATAACCCCCAGTTTTTTTCTGTCGGTTATTGTGTCATCAATTTCTTGTTTTGGTTCGCATTCGTTTTTTAATTCCGACTTAAAGCCGGAACCTTGCCCGTTTTTTGGCTTCTGAGAAAACGAATCGTCGCTACCGGAATCAGTTGTAGTTTCATCTTTATTAGATTTCGGCGAACGTTTTTCATAACTAGCTGCAAGAATAGCGGTAGCATTAAGGCTTGCCATTCGTTTTTGTACGACCATGTCCTTTAAGTCCATTACTACTTCAGTTCTGTTACGTTTTTTCTTAACGGGCACACCGGCAGTCTTTTTCATTTTAGCTGGAGGCTTCTCTGAATTTATGGGAGATTTATTTATGGGAGCTTTAGGTGCAACTTTCTTTTTCTCATTGGTTTTTTTCTTTGTCTCCATTTCACTATCCTCACTAGATGATGTAGATGATTTCGGGTCCCAGTACTTACCAGCGCTTCTTATCCCTGGAACGCCACGTAAAGTTCTCTGAGGGGGATTATCGTCAGAACTTTCTGAACTTTCATCTTTTTTCTCTTTTTTGGATTCGTACTCTGATTCTGACGTACTTTCCCGTTTTTCGCTGTCCTTAGCTTTACATTCTTTCTTCTTAGTTGGAGACACTTTAGATGTACCAGGCATAACTTGCCTGTCCACGGTTTTCATTAGCCCTAATTCCATGTGGGTCCGACTTTCATTTTCATACAAGCAATGCACTTTTGCAATGGCATTCAAAGATGCCATTCTGTGCTTCTTAGGTCCAGTCCACATAGATAAAAGTTTAAGTCGTCTTTTACTCGGTTTTTCGTTACCCAACAAAGAACTGTCTTTAAGATCGATTAGAGAGTCTTTTGATAATTCTTTAAGTTCCTTTGATGAAGCTTTCTTACCACCATCTGTAATTCTTTTGTATTTTTTACTTTTAGTTTTTTTCGATTTTGGCGTATCAGATTCGGAAGACTCATTCGTGTCATTATCATCATTAGATTCACTAACACTTTCTTCAGATGAGGTGTAGTGGAAGCTCTTAGTGTTGAGTGCAAATTTAGAGTTGTCGATTTCATGATCTGATAAACTACCTTTCTTACCTTGCTTTTTAGGTTTATTTGGTGACTTTTTAGTAACAGGGCTTGACTTAGTAGGTTTATCTATTTTATCAGCTTTGCTTGGTGAAGGCTGTTCTTGGTCAAGAAATTGGGGACTGAAAGGTTTACCAGTTATACTTGATTTTCGAGCTACCATTTTGTAAGATTTACTTACGATCGGCTTAGGTTTATCTTCGTCTATTTCTGTTATTGCTACATTCGACTCTCCCCTAGTTGCACATACATTTTCATTTTCATTAACGGTTATTTCTTCCGAACGTTTGTTAGCTTTTAATTGTTTTACAACTTCTTCAATAGGTCTATGTGGTGAGTACTTTTTCTTCTCTGATTCTGTCTTTTTGTCAATAACTGTTCCTTTAACTCTAGCTATAGGTCGAACTCTGCCAACGTTTTTATTTATAGGACTACGGAAATCAGATAGGATACTTTTCGGTGAATCGACTTTTTCCGTAAATGTATACACATCTATTTCAGGATCTTGAGAAACGAAAGTGTTTGATGCATTTTTATCTTTATTTAATTCTTCAGTTTTGGGCTCATATTTCATTGAAACAAACCTCTCTGATACACTTAAATTGCCCTTCGAGTTTTTGCAACATTTGACATCAATATCTACCATACGTGGAGATCGACTAGATGTAAAAAACTTAGGAGGTCTTTCTGTTTCAGCTTTAGGTGTCTCCACTTGAGCAGACGAGGTTGATTGTGTAGTACTAGTAGCAAAGTTTATTTCAGAAACAATATTGCTTTCAGTTTTTTCATCACTGACTGTAATAGTTTTGGTAGTCGGGCCTCCGCTTTCTTCTTCTTCAATTGACTTCTTTCGTTCGTTATTACTAGAATGGTCTTTGCTACTTTGAACCTTAACTTCTTTTAGTTCTTTGTTTTCTTTAGGTAGGACCTCACTTTTCTTTTTTTCATTATTTACGATGTTCCCTTTCTTTACTATAGTTTTAGCTTTAGAGAATGTATGTGTGGTTTTTTTATCTACATCATTATTCATTTTGTACTTTACATCATTATTATCTTTACTAGCTTTCAGGGTCGATTTACCAGGCTTTACTTTTTTGCTCGTTTTTAATGTTTTTTTCGGAGTAGTCTTTTTCACATTATTTTCTGGACTATTTTTAACCGTGTTTTTTTTCTCTTTTTCATCTTTCTTGGGTTTCGGCTTTTTTGTTGGTGAATTACTTCGAGAAGTCGATGCTTTAGAGGGCCCGGGCTTTGTAGAGTCAGGCGTTGTTTCATGTTTCTTGATAGACGAGTTTTGATCTTCTTTATTACAGTTTGTAGAGTCATCTTTAGAAGAATTTTTTTTACTACTCTTTATCAAATTTTTGCTAACTAGTTTTTTAACATTCTTCGGAGAAACCGTTTTCCTAGCTTGTTTAGAAGTCGAGCACTTAAAAGAAATTTTGTTCAAGTCCCCTTTCTTAGGCAAGGGTTTTGAAGGTGGTGACCGCATTGTCTGCTTTGGTCAGATGAAAGGTTTCGTCATCGATGAAATGATTCTTGTAATCACATTCTGAAACAAAGAGAAACAAATATTTAAAATACTTTGTTTACGATAAAAACGTGAGGTAGAACTACACATTATATATAATTGACAAAATGCCGGCTGCAACCCATTTCTTAATACCCCAATCATTCAGCCGTCTACAGGAAAGCAAAAAAATACCTTTTGTTACACGATTTGTCCCAAGACAGATGGCACTTATTGTTCCGCTTGGGTGTCTTCAAAGTAACGGAATTGTAAGTAGTAGTGTGAAGTGAAGCAAATAATAATTACTTGATTATTTATACTTTTGAGTGCGTAATAAGCACTACAGGAACTAACCGTTTAATGCCGTTTCTCCCAAGTTTATGTTCCGATCCTAAGAGTTGTAGCATTGTCGTTAATCTATCTAATTCCATATAATTTTTTACACATGTGACTGGTAGTTCAACAACGACGGCCAACAAAAGAAAAAAGCTGAAGTGTAGTTAAGCTACATTTAAAAAAAAAAACAAAAACAAAGTTATTAGTATCACCCTAAATATTCAACTGATTCGGTATAACACAAAGCAACATTTTTCATTGATAAACAAACTCAAAAGTAAAATACAAATTCCTGCCAAAGGTTACATCTGCTTTGACAACAGGCGCCCACGCAACCATATAAATAAACTCGAATCGACACGATTTACTCCTCGTTTTTTGTTGAAAAAGAACCAAGACTAACCGAATTTTATACCTGTGAGCACGTGCCTTCAGTAGTTAAAAAAAAGATAAGATAACCACCTTGTGCTGACAGTTAGAAAAAAGGTAGATAAATTTACCCGTAGGCTGTTTTAAAAGCCTGAGCATTTTGTATGGCCTATTATTTTGTAGTATTAACGTACTTTTATACAGATACATTCATTCGTTATGGGACTGATATAATGATAATTTATTCTTATAATAAGTATATATTATTCATCACATCATCATCACATAAACAGCCTTTACTAGTCCACTGATGGACATAGGCCTCTCCTTAGATAGGAGGTTTTGGCCAGACGAGTTTGTATAAGATTTGTGTCAAGTTTTTCTTCTCTCTGCAGTGTTATTGTCCTGCGTAGTTTACTCCCTTAGTTTACGTAGTTTGCTCCCTTAGTCGCCCTCTTACGACACCCACGGGATGAATAGGGATGGTGACACTCTGTATTCTTAATCGGTCACCACACGCCACACGTTACATATTATCTATATATATTTTTTAATTTATAATATAAAGCTTTTTGAAAAAGACATTAGTTCTCGTATAAGATAAACTGCTGTAAACGTATTAAACGATATTCTATGAAGGTTAAAATGTACTAAGAAATCTCAGCGGATTCATCACCGTGAAACAATGAGTCGTAAAAAACTAATGCCCCTAATATTTATTGAGGTCAAATACTTTTTGCGAAGCACATCGGTACCACGGGGCGAACTATTTCAATAAAAGTTTTTGAATGGCCTTCACTGCAGCCGCTATATTTTGCGGTGGTTTTGTATTTTAATATGCTGTAATATAAAATATTTTGTTGTTTATGTGCTTATGAACATTAATGGTCCATAAAAAGTATTACAACTTCTCAGATAGTTTAACAATGGCGTCATAACTCAAGACCTCAAATAAATTTAATAAATAATAGTCACAAGATTATACTCTTACTACTATACTGCTGATAGAAACGACTCTTGTCTTGATTTAAATGGGGTAAATCTCAGATTACAAAACAAAAAACCTTATGTTTTGTAATCTGAGGGTTAAATCCTCAAAAAAGCAAGCCCATTATTTGTCTGAACAAATGTAGATCACCTATAATTTTTCAAACACTGTTTGATGGTAATATAAATGTAAATTTGACATCACAGTGTGCTTAAGTCCATTCTATAGTTAAACGCTACTTTGTAAATTGTATTGTAAAAAGTATTTTTTTTTGGAAACTCATAACTGTTTTTTTTTAAGTTCTATAAGCAGTGTACGAGTTTTCCAAAGTATTCGTATTCATAGGTTACACTTAGGAAATAAAAGTAACTAACAGACTAAAATTTAACAAAATGCAACGTCTATTTTATTGTCTCATAAAAAATGGCTTTGGCTATAAGCTTTTAAATTTTTTTCTTGGATAGGACAGCATTACATTAGACTTTAAATAAATCTTATCAGCTGGCATTTATTATTAAAAGACTAGTTTGTTGTTTTTTATTACAAGTATATTTCTAAAGATTATCTCTCAATTTCTCCCTGTAAATAAAAGTTAATGACAAAAATGTACGAGCACCAATGTATGTATGTAAATACATTACTAAATCGAAATCCTTCCATAACATAGCGTCGACTATAAAACGTTTTTCACAAAAAGATCCAAAGCCCTATCAACAAAACATAACAACACGAGTGTTTTCAAAACCATTTCTTTTGCAACCTAAGCCATCATAATAAGGAATTGTTGTTTACAGTAAGGACAAATTCTTTAGCCGCATAAAGTCGTCTTCATTGTAATATCATTTTCTACTTTTCTGATACATTTTGTTTTTTCTAGTGTAGGTTCACATCATACACTAGAAAAAATGATGTAATAAGTAACACACAATACATAAAGGGTTTTCCAATAAGAGGTGTTATTTTAGTATTCAAAGAAAAATGCAATTTTTTAAGATAAATAATCGGCTGTTTATTTTATAATAAAGAGGAAGGTATGTCGTTAATAATGGAAGATAACATCAGCCAAATGGCTACCACTACCACGCTTATAGAACCATATCCTTTTAATGAAATTTTGCATAACCAAATCGCAAAGTGACTGCCCTGTGTCCTCGATAGCCTGACGAATTCCATCTTTGAGGTCTTGAATCGACGCTGGGCTGTTGGCGTAGACCTTATCTTTCACGTGGCTCCAAAGGAAGAAGTCGCAAGGTGTTAAATCACAAGATCTCGGTGGACAATTGTGATCACCTCTTCGAGAGATAACACGGTCAGGAAACTTTTCCCGTAAAAGAGCAATGGTTTCGTTGCTTGTGTGGCACGGAGCGCCGTCTTGTTGAAAGTAAACGTTGTCCAGATCAATACCATCCAACTCAGGCCATAAAAAATCATTAATCATATCTCGATAGCGCAATCCATTCACCGTAAGTGTTGATCCAACCTCATTTTCGGAAAAGTAAGGTCCAATGACCCCGCCGGACCATAAACCGCACCAAACAGTCACACGTTGAGGATGGAGAGGCTTCTCAACAATAACTCTTGGGTTTTCCGAGCCCCAGATGCGACAATTTTGCTTGTTGACGTAGCCTCCTAGGTGGAAATGGGCCTCATCAGTCAAGATGATTTTTCGATGGAATTCCGGATCATTTTCATGCATTTCAAGTACCCAATCAGCAAAGACACGACGTTGTTGATGATCGGCAGGCTTGAGTTCTTGTGTTAACTGAATTTTATAAGCCTTAAGACCCAAGTCTTTATGCAAAATACGGTGTAACGACGATTGTGGAATGCTCAATTCTAAAGAACGACGAGGAATGGACAAACCTGCGTTTTCTTCAACACTTTGGGCTACAGCAGCAATATTCTCAGTTGTTCTTGAGCGACGTGCACGGGTTTTATTCTTCACATCACTAACTTGTCCCAACAGCTCGAATTTTTCCACCAATTTCTGTATTGCGGTCCGACAAGGTGCTTCACGACGACCAAAAAATGCTTTAGTTTTGCGAACTGTGACTGCAAGATTTTCACCATGTTTGTAGTGAATTTTAATAATTTCAATGCGTTGTTGAAGTGTGTATCGTTCCATTTTTAGTAATGGCGTAATTTCTACTTGTCAAATGTCAAAAAATAAAAGCTTCAAAAGTGACAGCTACCGAAATACCGGGTAATTCAAAATAACACCTCTTGTTGGAAAACCCTATAGATTTAGACCGAAGTTTGAAATATTGTATACTGTATTGTATTGTATAATACTTAACTTTAGTTACAATAACTAAAGTTAAGACATCCGTTACGATATCAGTTATATCCTGTATGTTTAATTGATAAATTGAATTCATTTACGGATGATTGACGAATACTGAAATAGTGTATTCAGACCATCATTCTGTCTAAAACCATTGGAATTTTCTGCCGGAAAATAAACTTTTTATGCAATTCGCTGTCAAAGGTAAACGCCATTTCCAGTAGGTATCGCACAAAAGTAATAACTACATGTGTATTTCGTGCAAACAGTACACGCACACTAACATAAGTTGACGGCCGGAGGGGAGGCCCTGCGTGCTTCGACTGTTTGATTAATTAGATTGCAGTTTTCGAGTTTCAGTCGTCGTCCGACTGCCGCGTCACTGCCACACGAATGAAAGTTGTATATTTACAAGCCCACGCACACATAGGGCCGCGCGCACAACTGAGTTGAACTATCTATACATTTCTTTATTTATTTCTGAACACTAAGACAAGTTTTCACGTTGAAATCCTTACTGCCTTTACAGTTAAAGCCAACAATCAATGTTTAAAATACATAGGAACTTCAAAATGCTTGACGCCTATCGTAAGGCAATTATGACACATGTTAAACATGTTGTTTTTAGCATAACATGTAATATTTACAAAAGTTTTATTTATTTACAGTTATTTATTACAATTACAATGTACTATTACAATGTAATAGGTCTCGCACAAGTCGTCGCGCGTTGGTGGAATAAACCTTTTCTACGTAACACGATAATCACTCAAACAGAAATCTTATTATATTTCAGTAAAATCATAAATCAATGAACAAATTATAATCCCTTTTATAATTAAGATAAAACTTGCATAACAGAAATAACCGCTCTCCGTATTATTAAGACAAGTCTCTTGTTAAGTTAATCCTCTACAGTCGGCCTTAGAAGTAGGGTTGGCAGATTTAAGAATTTAAACTAGAAAACCCTTTTATTAAATATCTTAAAACCTCTGTGAACAAAAG